CTTCCTGGTCTGCAGACCAGGGAGACGCAGAGAAAGCCCCAGAGTACACGGGCGGCAGGACCGCGAGGTCCCGCAGTCCGTGTACTCTGGGGCAGCCCTGTTCGTATCTGCGGATCCGACTTAAGTCGGATCCGTGTAAGTCGGGGACTTCCTGGATCAGTGAGGTCCTGAGGGTGCCAGATTAGAGGTTCAACCTGTACTCAAAATGTGCCAGACTGCTGCAAAAATAAAAGATGACATGGTGTCCATCCCCGTGATTTTATCTCATGAATAGATAATAAGTTTTTAATTAAAGATGTATATCACCTCTATATTGGAACATGCATCACATTGATAGTAATGCAACTTTTAAAGGATACTTCTGAAGTTATTAGAAAAAATATAATATTAACCAATATGCACAAGTCAAGTTCATATGCACAGAACAGCATCCTTTCTGGTCCCCACTAGCACTATTACTTTCCCAATGAGAAACTCCTACAAGATTAGTAAACTTACTTTATTAAGTCCATCTCATCAAGATGCCTTAAGATGTTTGCTAACAGATGTCTGAGGTCCCTTTGGAAGAGTTCATCAAGAAAGTCTATTCCATCTAATCCCATTTTCTTGCCAATTAGATTCTGAAGTCCAAGGCTTCCCTGGGAAACAATTCTGTCCACAATAGCCCATGATTTCAAATTTCTTTTACCACTTTTTTTCAAAGTTGAGCAAACCAATTCTTCAAAATGGGTAACTGGTAACAAGTTTTTTTTACAGAGTTGTACTTGGCTTTGGTTCTTCATGAGAGAGTGATTTGGTGTGCCATATATATTTCCTGCCAGTAATATACTGTCATCATGTTCTGTCGGATCAGTGTACTGGTTGCTCAACATAGAGGAATAACCACTATCCTCATTTAGCTTACTGTTTTCTAATGCCTCCATTTCACAGGCCCCTTCAACAAACCTGCATAATACTTGCTGATTTTCTTTGTTATGTACATGTTTTCCTTCAGCTTTGGGATCAAAATTTCTGGGGGTTGCATTCTGCAGTTCACTATGCAACAGCCTCTGATATGCTTTTGCACAGTCTTTACAAGACCCTTCCCCATAATTCGAGGTAGAGAATTCTAGTTTTGTCTTTACTGCCTCAGTCTTTGCGAGTCCAGAACAGACATGGTTACAATTAAAATCACATTTCATTTTGGCAGAGTTGTTTGCTTTCATTATTTTCTGGCTTGTGCTCTGCAACAAAACAACAAAGTATTAATCCAAAACAGCACAGTGCTGTAGAAGAAAAGCAGGTGATTCAAAATGTGGTACTCTTCAGAGATATTACTGACTCTCATCTAGCATGGGTTAGGCCTCAGCATTGCTTGAGTGCATGCCCTTCTGGTTCCAAACACCAAGTGATGATTAAAATTCCAACAGCACCTTTTCACAAGTATAGGGTGTTACCCCCTGGGTATAATTGTACCAACATGAATTCAATTTTTTCTCCTGCCTTTTAGGATGGATTTAAAGGCACTCACTTCCTATCTTAAATACCATATTTTCAAGTGGCCCCTAACATCAACAGAGTGCTTGCAACTAAGGGTTCCACGACATAGTTCAACTAAGGGTAGCCACTGAACTAGAGAACTTGGCTCTTGGATGTTAATTTGCCACCAGGCAGAACCAGGCACAGAATATCAGGCCAAAGTACACTTAAAAGGATGGCTTAGGATGTCCTAATCTCCTCCCCCCAATGAGGGAGTGGAAGTGATGGTGGAATGGGTCAAGAAGGCACTCTCAGGCACAGGGTTTTTGACTGAAAGGGGAAGAGGGGGCACAGCAGGGCAGGTATTAGGGAAGCTAAATCCTTTGCCATTACAGGCAGTCCCCGGGTTACATGGATCCGACTTACATTGGATCCCTACTTACAAACGGGGTGAGACAACCCGCACTAGCTGCTTCCCCCCAGCAGACCAGGGAGATGCGAAGCTAGCGCCCCCCCACAGCAGACCAGGGAGACGCGGAGCAGCTTTTCTCAGCAGACACCTCAGCTTGAGAATAAAGGACTGAGGGAAGTGAGGTGTGGGAGAACAGAACTGAGCTCTGGAGAAATGTTTGTCTAGAGTTTCCCCTACAATATGTACCAGTTCCGACTTACATACAAATTCAACTTAAGAACAAACCTACAGTCCCTATCTTGTACGTAACCTGGGGACTGCCTGTAATGGCACTATACCATCACATATATTTGTGGTAAAACATGAGGGTACTCTTTGTATGCTGTGGTGAGGGATTATTTCCTCTATATGTTCACAATGTGGGGAAAATAGGTGATCTTCTGCACACTAGGAATAGCCTAAAGTGTCTATCCATGTGGTCACAGTACAAAGGCAAAATAGCAATCATAGGCATTTCCAGGCCTTTGGGGAAAATGGGTGCTCCATAAATGTCTGAGGTGGAGGGAACTGGTGTCTGTATAATTAGGACCATGAACATCCTTTTTGTAAGGTAAAAATAATTAAAGTAGACGGAGCTTGGTCCTGCCTTGAGGGCCGGGGGCTGGACTCGATGACCTCTTGAGGTCCCTTCCAGTCCTATTATTCTATGAAATCCACCTGTGTATTGTAAATGGTGCAAAGAGGCAGTTCTTGCTTAGCTAAATTAGTGAAGATGACCCCCCCTGCACTGTGGTTAGAGAAGGTGCCTCTCAGCCTTATTTGCAGCAGAAATAAGGTCCTTGCCGCCTTCTGGGGTCACTAAGCCACACCAGGCTAGGGAGCTGATAAGTACATTGCAGGGGCCGAGAGCTGTCAATGTATTTTCATGCTCAACAGCCAGTGCCTGTGCTGGGCCCCTGCAGAAGGACCCCCAGCTCTGCCATCCTCACAATAGGTCTTACCATTTCTTTTCCACATTTTAAGCGTTTTCCCCCCAAAACGGGGGCGCGGGGCCAGCC